AAAATACCTACTTTGTATAAACTTTTAGTAGACATTAATGGAGACGAAACCTAACCAAATTTTAAAAGAGACAAATTGTGGAAAACTTTACATGAATTAAACTTCGTTTGGGAGAAGAACGATAGAAAATCTGCGCTCATAGAGAAATATGAAATTATTTGTTAGAGGAGGGCAATATTTAAGAGAAATTAAAAAATTAAGAAGAAAAGACAAAAATATTTTTTATTTGGATGAAACATGGATAAATGAAGAACATTTTGTAAAGACATATTGGCAAGACAAACACGTTGCACATGCTCGTCAGGTTTGTCTGTCTACTGGCTCAAAATTTCCAAATGGTAAAGGTCACCGTTTAATTATCACTCATATTGGAGGAGATAAAGGATTTGTTGATAGAGGCTTGTTAGAATGTATTTCAAATTCTACGAAAAACTACCATGATGAAATGACTGCTGTTGTTTTGAGGAATATTTCAGTCAATTAATAGATTTATTACCGACCAATTCTGTAATAGTTATGAACAATGCTAGTTATCGATCAAGATAAAAAATAAAATAGCAAAAGAACATTGAGTTAAAGTGTTGCGGTTACTACCTTATCACTGTGCACTTAACCCTATTGAACTAATCTGGGCTCAAATGAAGGGATATGCCGCGAAAAACAATACAGCATTTAAACTTCAAGATGTTTGTTAACTATTATGTGACTCCATTTCAAAAATTTCACCGGACAATTAGCAAAACGCTATAGGACATGTCATAGCAGAGGAAGAGAAATTCTGGAAACTCGATGTTAATAGAGAAAACAATAGAACCAATTATTATTTCTGAGGGAAGTGAGGAAACTGATGATGATGATGACTTCTTATCGGGAGAAACCGACTTATTTATTTAGGTATATAACTCTATAATTATATTAATTTTAATAAGTTTTAATACACACAAATTTATATGGAATCACTCCGTTTTTCTAAAAACGAAATATGAGTGTTTTATGAGAAAAGATTTGTTTGCAAAGAATTTTTTATAAAAAAAATTAAAAATCAACCCGTGGTTGTGGGTTTTAATATTGTGTTAACAATCTTTTTTTTGTTTGGCTCACACATTAGATCACACTAATATTGGATACAGTGTTATGTCAAACAAGCGCATTTCTAGACAAAGTCTAGAAGACAAATGGATAAAGAAATACAGAAGCTTGTTTCATGGGAAATCAAACAGCAAACACATTAAACAAAGAACAGAGAATATGATGGTTGGTACATGTAAGAAAACTAAGCGGATGAATATTATCTAACATGATGCTGCAAAGACCTTTAATTGAAGAAACTGTGGAGTAGAATGAAAAAAGCTGATACACTGATGTACAGGAAACTCTTAAATATTTATGAAGGTCAGCGGTTCCAGAGAGACTATAGAATATACATGTGAAAGGGGTGGATGAAAAATGCAACGAACAAAGAACGTTAATAGAGAAAAATAAATAATTATAAACTTGCATTAGCAGCAATATGTTTATGGAAATCAATCTACTAGACCTCCAGGAGCTGTAAAATTATATGAATAAATATCTAATATGTATTACTGCTGGATAAAATTTATCCGACTAAAAATATGTAGAAAGGGGCAAACAATGTGGCATAACACCTCATTTTTTATATTATTTGTCTCTTTTGGGCTATGTTACAGCGAAACATTATTTTATTTTAATTTAGCACGAGCACCTTTTGAAAGGAAACAAATTAAATTTCAAACGACCAACCCTACGCAGCAAAATTAAAAATTGAAACAAAGTTCAGGATTGAACACGTGAACTACATCCCAAAGAGAAAGAGATTCCGTATTCTCATTTGAAAAATAAAGTACATCTTAAATTAGAATTATTTTGTTTTCATTATATTTTGGAAAGCTTCCAATAACTTACTGTGGAAAGTTGATGTGAAATAAAATTTTAAATTAATCAAACCAAATTAAATCCAATTTTAATGCACTTCCTTAGTAACTTTTTGTACGTACATACTTTTGTTCGGATTTAGAGAAATTGATGCAACGTTTAAACTCCCATTTGTTTTTAAATGGTGAGATACGAGTTATGAAAGTATTATATTCTGAGCGAGAGAACAATTTACCACCGATGCGAAACTGAGTTAGGTTTATTTCAAATTTCCTTTGCGTATATTGCACAAATATTTGTTTATTAAGTATTTTTTTTAATACTATCCCGAAATGTTATTCAAGCCTATCTCTGCTTTCTGCTTCCCAAAATTGCAATTATAGAAGCATTTTAGGTAACAGAAATTTAAAAAACTAAAATTGAAAACAAACTATTGCAAAATTAATGAATATTAAAATAAGATAAAAGAGATTTTTACTGAAAGAAAGATTTACAGTCTACAAAATAAGCGCACCGATCGCGGTACCTAAGAACTATTTGTTTATTTATAGTTTTTTCTATTACTAACCCCGAAATATTAACCAAGGCCGCCTCTGCTAGGGTTCATAAAGAGCGCTCTTTGAATCAGAGCTGGGCCTCGAAAGTGCTTGAAAAAGTATTTCAAACATAAGTGCTTTAAACATAGTACTTGCAATTAATTAGTTTTAAAATACTTTGTTCAATAATTGGTAAAGTGAAAGAAATACCCCAAGTCCTCTGACAAAAGAGTATCTATCCATGGAGGTAGGATATTGGAGAAGATGCTATGTTCATTTAAACATGTTGTTACCTTCTTTTAGATTTCTTCGATGTAAATTGTACTTAAGAGGTGATTTAGGTCAAATTACTGATACTGCGTGGATTCATAAATTGACCAGGACAAATGAAATAAGAGTAGCTTGACCGGTTCGCGGGCCAAGGACTACTTTACGATAAAATGAAAGATATTACAATACGATAACGACAAAAAAATGTTGAGCACCACCAAGTTTTTGAGTAACTTGGAAAACTTATCTGATTTGATATGTCCTGTTTAATTGAGTCAGTCTCTGGTACTTAAAGTTATCTGTATGGGTTCTGGCAAATAAAAGAAAGTGAGAAAATTTAATACATTTAATAATAAAAGTAAAAGAGTGAAATTTTACGTATAATAAATTGATAGTGATTAAATCTAAATAGAAATAAAATTGACTGATATTATATAAATGAATTAATAAAATTTACTGTTAGGTACTTAGATAAATATTAATACCGACCATGTGGCATTCTAGTATGATAAGTACGGTACTTCCCTTTTGTATGTCGTGTCGTGGACAATCCGCCTTTAGGTACTTCGATACTTGGGGCTTGGAGCTCGGAAATTGGAGAAACTGCTTAACTCGGACTTCTTGTTTCTTAGAGCTGGGATCTTAGAGTTTCCTGGATCAATTACGTGACTTCTTGGGGCTTCTAAGAGCTTCTTAGAGGTGCTTGGAGCTTCTTAAAGCTCATTGGAGGAGCTTGGAGCTTCTTAAAGCTTATTGGAGGAGCTTGGAGCTTCTTAAAACTTATTGGAGGATCTTAATTTTATTGGAGCTTCTTCTTGAAGAGCCACTGACAATTATCCCAACGTTAACACACAATAAACACATAAAAGACAGATAATTACTCTCAACAAATTTTAATACATTTATCGGCTCAGCTAGCACTTTGAATTCAAACACCAAAAAGAAAGATTAAATCCAAACGAATCGGTTTTATGAGGACTGGTTGCCCAAAGAAACTCTATGGACTGTGCGCAGACCATGCGCAAACGATGTTTTGTAAAAATCGATAAGGGAAGCGAGCAGTGGTCGTCTTTTAAGTTGTGTTACCAGGGGTTATGGAGAAGTTGTTAAAAATAAATTTGAAATTAATTTAAAATTAATTTCTAAAAATGATATCGGTGGGCGGGGTTAAGTGGACGTAAGTGAAGCATCAATATGGCAGCCGTTTTTTTTTTTTCATTCTGGATAGAATGCTCAAGTATATACTAAAATTATTTTTTCAGATTTGAGTCGAAAGCAGATATAAACAATTAGTTTAATTTAATTTTTCCACACCCACATGGATATTAGCTTATCTACGTACAGATTACAAAACGAAAAAGTATGCTATTGCCTTCAGCTGAAAAAATATATTTCATATCTATTCTAGGTAGTGAGAACATTACAAAAAAATAAAATACACCAATCACAGTTCCATATTTTGATCAACCGACTGCTATTATTTTTAAAATTTTAAATAAGTGTCAATTCTGTCAAACTAATTGTCAGTATATTTTTTAGTTATTGAGATTAACCATACATTAAAATAAGTTATTTTTGTATAGAATTGATAAATAATAGAATTTATGTTTTTATTTCGTCTATAATTATAAATTAATTTTTAATTTAAATAAAATTATATTAAGTCAATTTAATTACAAGTATTGAAGCAAAAAAATAAACGCGGTCAGGGTTATTGTTTTCCATACGGAAGACTCGAGTTTAAAATTTGGTGTTTTTCTTTGTATCCATTCATAAGTTTACGAGTATACGCACAAGCGCACGCACACACACACACACACACACACACACACACACGCACCTACGCACCCTTGCACGCACACACGCACGCACACACGCACACACACGCACACACACGCACACACACGCACACACACGCACACACACGCACACACAGACATCATTGCGGAAATAGACAAAACGGATTTAGGGGACCCCAAACCGAAAAAAATCATGATTCCTATACTTTCCTTAGAAAAGTAAAAAAACCATGTAGTACTGTATGATACTAGCTCGTAGTATTTATATAATTGGCTTACATGATTATTAAGAATTGTTAAAACTAATTTAAAATGTATAACTAAACCGTTTAATAATAAAAAATATATACATATTTTATAATACTATTCTTATGTTGCCATTTCGAAAAATTGAAAACCTATATTTTTTATATTTTTGTTGACAATTTTATTAGTTGTATTAATTTTCTGACCGTATTTAAACAACTTTCCAAAACACTAACGTATTGTTTTATTATTTCAGGAGGGAGGAAAAACAACAACGAAAACTTTAGTTTTCCAAAGTCCTCTTACAGAAGAAGAATTGGACAATATCTGGGACGAACAGACGTTACGTCTTTTGGTAAGATTTTTGTTGTTTTCAATTGAAATCATTTCAAATAATACTCTGATTATTTCAGCTCGAACAAAGCACTGCATACGAAGAACGTCGTATTATCAGGAACAGGCTGAAGAAAATTATGGCGGAACAAGAAGGTAAATAAATAAAAATATAGAAAAATATTTATTTGAAAAATAAATCATTCACAAAAAATAATATATAATAGCAGGCACATTGTCCAAAATGATTGTAATGAGTTTGTAATCCCATCCAAAACCCAACAGATTCCAAAAATACTCAAATTAAAAAAATACAATATTCTGCTATACAGGGTGTTCCTTAATGATATGCGAATATTTAAGGGTATAAATCTACATGAAAAATTAGTGATAGTTTGCTTTATAAACTATAGTCCAAATGTAATTTTTTTCTTTTATTCTTTAATAATCACATTAATTTTCTTGGACAATACAACAGTTAACATTTTTTTACTCAATAACGTAGCAACGTAGGAAAACTAATCAGGAGATCCTTTAAATTTAAAATTGAATGGGTAATTTAAAAACATTTTTTGATTTTTTTTTTGGGGAAAAAATAATTAGCGTACCATTTTTCTTCAAAAATATTGAGGCTAGTGCCCGTACGCACGTTACGGTTAAAGCTGTACATTATTTTTGTATTGAAAAATATGCACCATTATTAACTCTTACCATTGTATTTAGAGAAGAAGTTGATCTAAATACAATGCTCTTACTGAATATTAAAAATCGCTGAAATATCTCAAGCGGTTACGAAAATATTAATTAAAATTACTTTTTCTCCCAAAACTTTAGTACCCTGTATTTTAGTAACGAAACTTTTTGGGACCATAAATTATAAAGCAAATTTTTCATGTAGATTCACACCCTTAAATTTTCGCATATCAGTAAGAAACACCCTATACAGTGAGCACCATAAGTCTTACCCCCCTATCTAACTCGTTACTGGAGTCTTGTTAGGAAAATCGCCGAGACACGTCGATTTTTGATTTCTACAATGTACATTTTTGTATAAATAGTTTACCCTTAATTTCATCCCTTACTGGAGGGGAGCAACCCTTTCGAAAAATTTAAATGGCATGGGGTGGTGAGTGATAGCTCATTTAAAAGAGGGTTTTATTCTCTATTCAACCGTGTAAAAAAATTTGAAATTTGCTTTATTATTTCTCGACTAATTGTTGTTTCAGAATAACGGAAATTAACGTAGCGCACTCATCCTTAGAATTAAAATTCGGCCCTGCATGATTTCGGTTTTGGTTCAGACGTGAAGTAAGACTTTTTGCCATTAGAAGGTCACTGTTAGTCTAGTTGCTTTCCTATTTTGTGAGGTTTTGTTATTTTTAAACATTAATAAATCAACACGTAATGAAGCAAATTTCAAAATTTTTTGCAAGGTTGAATAGAGAATAAAACCCCCTTTCAAATGAGCTATCACTCACCACCCCATGCCATTTAAATTTTTCTAAAGAGTTGCTACCCTCCAGTAAGGGATTAAATTAAGGGTAAACTAATCATGCAAAAATGTACATTGTAGAAATCAAAAATCGACCTGTCTCGGCGATTTTCCTAACAAGACCCCAGTAACGAGTTAGTTAGGGGGGTAAGACTTATGATGCTCACTGTATAGGTGTTTGTTTATGTCCAAGATTACCTAGCAGTATATCTACCTCATGCATCGGCTTAAGTTCTGTAAATTCCTATGATTTTCGTATGATCTTAAAATGTATACGAAGGTAAATTATATTCAAGATTATATTCAGATACAGAGGGATAATAATACACTATATGATTGGTGTTTGAATAACGGCATGCTATTAAACTCTACTATACGTATGTTACAGTTTAACGTTATCTGAGCTTAACACAACAATAACCTTTAATTAAACTTTTTACAATAATCTAACAAAAAGTTCTAAAAATTCGTTACTTAGTTGTTATCTTTGGCAGCAATATTTCATTTGTTCCTCCTACAAACTCAATCATTTCCAAATCGCTACAGATATTTGATTTGGTTTTTTTATTATTATAAACTCTAAATCCGAGACATTGCCTACATAATCTGGAACACCCTGCATAACGATGAGTTTAATCAAAATACAGGCGTGGGGAATACGATTTTTATCCAAATTGTTTTAAAGAAAACTATTTCTCGAGAGTTTTCGGACTTATTTGTATTCATCAGACAAAAAGCTCAATAAGCTAATAAGGCTACTATTTTACCAAATATGACTAGAATAGGCAGTCCTATATGATAGTATCATACTAAGAAATGATAGAAAAATAGTTAATAATAATTCATTTATTATTTAATCAAATTAAAAAATGTATTCAAATCTTTTACGTATTAAAATTGTTTATAAAGAAAAAATTTTATGTCGCACGACTACCTAGAACAATTAATAACAAATTTCTCTAATATCGCTCTTTCAGATAAGTATTATCAAATTTTATTTTAATCTTTAATAGTATTTTTAGTTTAGTCAATCTAGGATAGAATTTATCCAATTGAAGTAACAACCAAAAAGACAAACATACGAGAATTTTTGGGTTAAAATAGCATCTTAAAATATTCTGTTTATTTCAAATAAAGATAGACATTAGGTATACTAGAAATGCACACAAGAGAAATGTAATAAATAATGATTTGTTATGCATAGAAAACTTGTAGATATAGATTTATTCATCATGGCACGAAAATTTAGACGGTTACCCGTATCTGTCATGTCATAGCTGTCATGTCATGGCTGTCAAGTCACATTGCACAGGGTGTAATACCTAAACAGATAAGCAACTTTTTTTAATACCTAGTAAAAAAATTAATGTTTTACCAAAAATAAATACATAGCTGGTTAGTATTGTTAAAAATTAAATTATCTAGATACAATATGTTTTCCACAAATGTTCAAAATTTATGGGTTAAGGTACAGTTACATCTGACATTTATTGCATGATATTTATGTCTGACAGTTGTTTATTCCTGTGTAAACACTCAAAAATGTATGTCCGAGAGAAATTTTTGTGTTTACACTGGACTGAATAACTGTCAGACATAAATATCATGCAATAAATGTCAGATGTAACTGTACCTTTAGGCCTAATTTACCTATATAGAAAAAGCGAATACAAAAAAAACACCTGTTGCAAGATAGAATTTCAAAGGTATGTATGATACTTAAGCCGACGAATTCTCGTCAAATTTGCGCATGATGTAATGTGGTGCGGAACATGCTATCTATGACGGCAAAGAGCCAATGAGCATATTAAAATGTATTTTCACGCGCTGTTTTCCATCAGCTGATGCCTCAAATTCTTAAGATCCACGCCTCCGCACCTTAATACGTCACTGCGACGTAGTATTAATATTTTACTTTCTTTTTATATTGGCATAAGCCTAATCGACCTATTTATTACTTTACAATATCTGATATAATTTATTATCTACCTCTTTGTTACCGTTATTATTGTTTTCCTCAGTAGGCAACTTTTAACAGAATCTGTATACAGGGTGTTTATTAATTGAGTTCCGATACTTAAGGGTGTGAATCCTTGTGTGATTTTAAGAAGAAAAGTTAATATTAACAACGGTAAATCTTTTAATTTTTGAGCTACAATGTGTTACAGTTTTAAGAAAAAAATAACTTTTTATCATAATTTTCTTATCACTTTAGATATTTTTATGAAATTTTGTACACAGGTTTTATTCATCAAGGAGCATTTTTTGACCTAAATAGTATATTACATTACGAGTGTGGAAAGTGACATTTTTCACACGAGTGGGAAATATTGTCGCACGAGGCACAAGCCGAGTGCGATTATCACACGAGTTTGGAAAATCACTTTTCACACAAGTTGTACAATATTTTTCCTACGACCACAAAATAATTTCATCAAAAAATGTAAAACCAGGTTATTATTATAATTATTAAAATGTATTTAAAAAAATAATCAACAATAATCGTATTTATTCAATTTTCATATTTTCTAAATAAAAAAAAAATAAAAAAAATTCTGGATTTGAACGCGGTCGCTCGTCGGGTCTCAAATGGCAAAGTTGATAAGTTTGACGCTCTAACCATCTAAGCTACTAGGCCTTGCGTCAATTGAATGATCTAATCGGTTATGTCATTTTTCAGAATAAAGAGCAAACATATCTTAGTTATTTTAAAATTATTTTAATAATAATTGTTAAAGATAAATATATAGGATCTAATTTACAAAAATTTCAATAATTTAATAATCATATCGATTTTAGTATTAAGGTAGTTCACTCGCGACAGTCGTACACAAAAATATCGCCCTATAGTGAATACCAACCGTTCGAGATTCTTAAATCTAAAGAAAGGTTATTTTTGTAACAGACTGTACACACAACACATGTGATCCTATATACAAATATGTTATTATATCGCGTAAAATCCATCAGGCAACGTCGCAAATATATTGTGAAACGTCAACTGTATTCCTGAAGTGAAATAAATGTAAATATCAAAATGTTTCATTATCAGGATCAATTAATTGCGAGATAAAGGAAAATTTGTTAAGCAGAACGTCCTCAACAAACGCAAAAAATCAATTTTGGCTATGAATAATGCCAAAAAATTGAGATAGGAAACCCCAAACGTGGAAAATAACCTGTGCAGTGGTCGACGCATCATGAAATTACAGAAGTTGGGAAAACATTTAAAATGTTGCAGGCGTGAAAGAGTTCTTTCTCTTGAAAATATTACAAATGAAACACGAAAGGGCCTTTATTCAATTTTAAATGTTAAATGTAATGAATGTAATATTGAAACTATAGTACCTACGGGTACTATAGGTAAATCTAGGTAAATTAAAAAAAAATACATAAGTATGTTTATAATTTTTTTATTATAATTAATATATTTTTGTTTATTTAAAGGTGCTGTCCATTCATTCATGTTTAAATACAATTAAATTTAAATTGTTAAATCATATCAATCTAAAGTATAAACAACGTCCCTTCCCCAGAAGGCCTCGATAAAGTAATAAACTTGACCTGTCCGCGGCAATAAAAAGGTTGGGAAGCACTGATCTAACAGACATTTGAATTAGCGGGCGTTGAGTGTATCGATTACAACGTTGCCAAGTTGTAATCA